GAGAGAGAGAGAGAGATAGAGAGTATGGGTGTTGTGTGTGAGAGTGTGTGGGTGACACAGGCATCTTCTTGTATTGTTTCTATATTTTCCGATTGCATAGGATGAAGATGATGAGTTTAAGATAATTGTTATGATGATGATGATGATGATGATGATGATGAAGATGGTGATTTTGGTGATGATGATGTTGATGATGATTATGGTGTTGATGATGATGTAGATGTTGATGATGATGGATTTGGATGAATTGCACATGGTTGTGATAAACGCGGACACAGAATACTCAGTGAATGCACGGAGCATTCATCTACGAGGTGGATGTGGAAGACTGAGTGCATGTGTAGGCGAATGAGGATATGTGAAGGAGAATGCGTGTGTGTGTGTGTGTGTGTTGTGTGTTATCCTGTGTGAGTGTGATTTTGAGTGAGTGAGTGAGTGAGTGAGTGATTGAGAGTGACCTGCATGTGTGTGAATAGTTCCCGTGACACGATTCACCAACAACGGAATCAGAATAATTCATGTGATATATATACATAGGCGTGCACACACACACACACACACACACACACACACACGGAAACACACGCACACAAAGGAAGACACAGAAACACGCACACGCACACGCACACACAGAATCACACTCTCTCTGTCTCTCTGTATGAATTACTGAATGAATCATTGTGTCTCTTTCTCTCTGTTCATTTCTCCGTTGAATTCTCTGTCTGGAAATCAGGAGACATAGCCTCGGTAGAAGCAAGTGAAGACAGCATGGTGACAGGTGAGTGGAAGATGAGATTTGCATTTGCGTTAGCGAGAGAGATAGAGGAGAGAGAGAGAGAGAGAGAGAGTATGGGTGTTGTGTGTGAGAGTGTGTGGGTGACACAGGCATCTTCTTGTATTGTTTCTATATTTTCCGATTGCATAGGATGAAGATGATGAGTTTAAGATAATTGTTATGATGATGATGATGATGATGAAGATGATGATTTTGGTGATGATGATGATGATGATGATTATGGTGTTGATGATGATGTTGATGATGATGATGATGGATTTGGATGAATTGCACATGGTTGTGATAAACGCGGACACAGAATACTCAGTGAATGCACGGAGCATTCATCTACGAGGTGGATGTGGAAGACTCAGTGCATGTGTAGGCGAATGAGGATATGTGAAGGAGAATGCGTGTGTGTGTGTTGTGTGTGTGTTGTGTGTTATCCTGTGTGAGTGTGATTTTGAGTGAGTGAGTGAGTGAGTGAGTGATTGAGAGTGACCTGCATGTGTGTGAATAGTTCCCGTGACACGATTCACCAACAACGGAATCAGAATAATTCATGTGATATATATACATAGGCGTGCACACACACACAAACCACACACACACACACACGGAAACACACGCACACAAAGGAAGACACAGAAACACGCACACGCACACGCACACGCACACACAGAATCACACTCTCTCTGTCTCTCTGTATGAATTACTGAATGAATCATTGTGTCTCTTTCTCTCTGTTCATTTCTCCGTTGAATTCTCTGTCTGGAAATCAGGAGAGATAGCCTCGGTAGAAGCAAGTGAAGACAGCATGGTGACAGGTGAGTGGAAGATGAGATTTGCATTTGCGTTAGCGAGAGAGAGAGAGAGAGAGAGAGTATGTGTGTTGTGTGTGAGAGTGTGTGGGTGACACAGGCATCTTCTTGTATTGTTTCTATATTTTCCGATTGCATAGGATGAAGATGATGAGTTTAAGATGATTGTTATGATGATGATGATGATGAAGATGGTGATTTTGGTGATGATGATGTTGATGATGATTATGGTGTTGATGATGATGTAGATGTTGATGATGATGGATTTGGATGAATTGCACATGGTTGTGATAAACGCGGACACAGAATACTCAGTGAATGCACGGAGCATTCATCTACGAGGTGGATGTGGAAGACTCAGTGCATGTGTAGGCGAATGAGGATATGTGAAGGAGAATGCGTGTGTGTGTGTGTGTGTGTGTGTTGTGTGTTATCCTGTGTGAGTGTGATTTTGAGTGAGTGAGTGAGTGAGTGATTGAGAGTGACCTGCATGTGTGTGAATAGTTCCCGTGACACGATTCACCAACAACGGAATCAGAATAATTCATGTGATATATATACATAGGCGTGCACACACACACACACACACACACACACACACACGGAAACACACGCACACAAAGGAAGACACAGAAACACGCACACGCACACGCACACACAGAATCACACTCTCTCTGTCTCTCTGTATGAATTACTGAATGAATCATTGTGTCCCTTTCTCTCTGTTCATTTCTCCGTTGAATTCTCTGTCTGGAAATCAGGAGAGATAGCCTCGGTAGAAGCAAGTGAAGACAGCATGGTGACAGGTGAGTGGAAGATGAGATTTGCATTTGCGTTAGCGAGAGAGATAGAGGATAGAGAGAGAGATAGAGAGTATGGGTGTTGTGTGTGAGAGTGTGTGGGT